TTACAAGCCACATCGAAATGGGCTTTTTTTAGGGACAGCCACTGCTCCGCCAGCTGAAGCAAGCCAAGGGGCTCCAAGATAAGAGACAGGGAGCCGACAGACACACAGCTAGCACAAGGACCTGGGCCCCTTTCTCCAGAACAGGGCTTAGAAATAAACCGAGAAGGAATAATTCCCATTTTACCAGCCCGAGTTAAGTCACACAGCAGTTTGTGTTTTACCTTAGGAAACAGCCGGGAAGCAAACGTACACATCCTCACGCCTGGGTCAGCTCAGGGAACTGGATGGGAAGAAACTCTTCAGGCTTTCACCTTCTTTCTTAATACACAGAAGCGCACAAATCCCAGCCTAGTTAAGCCCCTGCCTGTTAGAAAGAAATCAAGGCAGAGCAAAGCAGACAGTAGTAGCCTCGCAGCTACCCCTTCCCCTGCCCAGGCTGGGCTCAGCTGCTTTTAAAGGCTGTTGGAAATGCAACTGGGCTCAGCTGCACTTGGTTAACCTTCACCCCACGAGTTCTACCCGGAGTGGCTGCTGCTCTGCTCCCCCCAGGGCTGGTGGGGGTGATGAGCTCGGTGCTCTTGCTCTCCTTGCTGCATCCCGACCCTGCCCTTGTGCACCATCCCCGAGGTGGGGGAGGCAGCTGCTATGCTAGGGTTATGCCCAGGCAAAGTCCCTGGGGTCTGTGTGGGTTTGGGTTGAGCAGTCCCATCCTCAGAGGAAACCTGAGCTGCTTTGGGTGCTCACACTCGTGTTTCAATAATCTGTTGTTTTCTGTTGTGGATCTTCCAAAAATTACCCTCCCTATCTCACCCAGCAGACAGTTACTGCATTGTAGCTCTAGCACCCAATCATGGGCTTTCTATTATATGAAAAGAGGGGGAAAATATGCCATAGCTTCTGCATCTGGCAGTGCCAGAAACAGTCAAATCCTCGCTCAGACCTCTGCTTTCTCCTAATGGCAGATCAAAGCTCCTCCATGCAGTGAGACTCTCAGGCATTTGCTAGAAGCGTTTGCTGCAGCCAGCAATGATCCAGTGCAAAGCACAACTGGCAAGTCAGCACAGATGAGGTTACTGTCACCTTGAAGGATCATCAGGATCTAAGTTAAATCTTTCTAGCCAGGTCTAAGTAATTCAAGTCATTTCCCCCCTAGTTTCTTCCCCCACCTGTGGTACCTCTGCATTTCTGGGGTCCATTTGGATGAAGATTTGGCCATAAATACCACAAGATTTCAAAAATTACTCCTATAAGCCAACTATCCACTTAGACTAAAGGACTTTGGCTCCTTATCTCAACACCTTATCTATGATACTACTGCTAATTGCAGCCAAAGAGCGAAGCGGAGAGGCTGACGGGGACAAACAACTTTGCACAGTCATTGCAAAGCTTTGTGCACTGAGGTGGGTTTGTGCATGTGTGCGTGGGTTCGTGCTGCACGTACCTGCTGTGCTGCAAGTAACGACACGTTTTCAAGGTGCAGGCATCTTCTTGAACCTGCAAAACCAGGAGCACCAACCAAATGACCTTTGCCAGAAGCCCCTAAGAACCAAAGCGGTGCAAGTCCAGCCTCAGTGGCTGGGGTTGGCAGGCAGATGCATGCAGTTTCTTACAGTCATTTCCAGAGGAGCCGTCATCTTCTTGTACATCCCTGGAGTGAAACCCACAGGAGATAAGGAGAAGAGGATGAGCGAAGCGTCCCCCGTGTTGCCTCCCCCCCGGAGCTGAGACATGAGTTTGGAGGTTGAGGAGCTCACCAAGAAGCTGGAGAAACAGTTTGTTTCCTGAATTCATCTCAGGGTGAGAAGATCAGCTGCTGTGCCAAGCAAAGTCTCCTCAGGTGCCACTGCCACTGGGGTGGAGGAGATGGAGAGCTGGTGGCCACCTGATCTTGTCCAGATCCCAGCTACCAAAATCCCTGGGTTGGATTTTTGCACTGTTAGGCCAACTGGAGTTCCTCACTGACGAAAAAAAAAAAAAAATAAAAAAAATTCTAGGCCTGGAAGTTCTCTCTGTGAAGGGTTTGTTTATTATTTTACAGTATATATTACCTTTGAGCACTTTCACTGCTTCTCTGATGAACTCTTCAGGCTCCAGTGAGCAGAAGGGTCGTGGGGAAATCCTGCTGCAATCAACTTCAAGAAGACATTCACATCACGTTGATTTAGGTGGAAACAGTAAACTTGATTTATTGAAAAAAAAAATCTATTACATTTATTCCTTTATTACACAGGTTTAAAATATTTAAAAATAGCTCTTATGGGCATTACACTTAAATTTTATGACATGTTTATTGGACTTTGAAGAAATGTACAATATGTCATTCGACACTATATTTTAAAAAGGGCCTTATGTACTAAAATTTTTTTCCATAGGTTTTATTTTTCTTATCAACATTTGTTCAAGTCATATATATTAAGGGAGGAGGGAAATAAAATTACACAAAAAGAATGTCTGCAAATACAAGTAGTAATTTTATTGCAATATACCGTAGCTAAGTGGTCTGGGGAAATCGGAACAGTTTGGAGCTCAGTACAATTACAACACTGTGGAATTCAACAGAGGAAATTTTTTTTTTTTTCTTAAAGCAAAGAAATAAAAGGAAAAATAAAAGAAAAAAGCTCCCTTGATGAAAATTTGTAACAGAATCACATGACCTAGACAGACACACACGTGTGTACATACATCAATATATGGCTTTTCTGTTGCAGAGAGGAATGTGCAACCTTTTCTGACCTTCCCACTGTTCCTGAACAAGGCTCTTGCCAAGGTGGCCAAGAAGCTGACTTCTCCTATATATTATTATATACTCCTTTTCACTGCTTTGAGGCTGGAGCCTGCAGGTTTTTTTAGGGTAGCACCTTTTTCCACCCCCCTCCAAATGGAAAAAAAAAAAAATACAAGAGAACAAAACAGAAGAAGGGAGATGGATGGACATGGCTCTCCCAGACCAAAAAAAGCACCACGGGGCGTCGCCGCTGCCTCCAGCATGGCTTTGCCTCCCTTCCTCGCGTGCTGCTGCTCTCTGCTTGGGAAGGAGGGGGGAAAAGACATCATATATAGGCTTTTCTTCACAGTTAATGTGATGTCTTTTCCTTTATGGTGAAAGACCCCCCTTGGCTCAAGCGTTGCTGTAATACTCCAGGCCAAATAACAATAAAAAAAAACACCCTGCAACATCTATTTTCCAGCTGAGAGATCTAAACAAGGAAAACGGCCAGGGAGAAAACAAACAAACAAACAAACAGAAAAAGAAGATGGTGTCAGCAGGTTGCAAGCTGAAAATGCTGCATGGAGGAAAAAAAAAAAAAAAAAAAAAAAGCAGCACCATCCTGGCAGAGCCACCGTGGGAAGACCAAGAAAATTGCAGACTCCCGGGAGCGCTCGGTGGGCGGGCAGGCACCCACACGGCTTCAGCATCGCGTCAGGACATCCAACAAATACATAAATTAGCACCACAAACATTCAGCGACTGAGTACAATCTGGTATGGTTACCACCGTACAAAATGCATGAATAGTCTTGGAAAAGAAAAAAAAAGAAAGAAAAAAAGATGCAAGCACATTTAATACCTTTTCTACATGGACCGTATAAGCTACCGCAATACAATTAAGGAAAGGAGTGGGTCTTCTACATAACAAATATGAAGGTGGCATGCATTTATAATCAAAGACTGTGGCAAAAGCCTGCAGTCTGTGTTGGAAGTGGCTAAAAAGCAAAGGCTGTTGGGAGATTGGCCAATGGCAGGGTATCACCAGTGTTGTATTAAAGTCATTCAAATAGATAGCACCACAGAGACGTGTAAAAATAAAAAGCACCTTATTTTTTTCCTTTTTTTTTTTTATCACTTATATTCAGAGAGGACAAAGGGATTTCCCCTGCCACTGCAATCTGCTGCTGGGAATGGGTTTTTTCTTTATTATTATTTTAAAAGAATGCTGAAGGAAAAAAAAAAGAAGAATTAATTTAAAACATGTATATTAAGGTGTATAGAAAGGCAGAGAGTCAAAGCAGAGTCTGCTTTTTGGGTTTTGCAGAAATCTCATTAAAAAGTGGCTTAAATTTCCTTATTTTGAAGCAAATCATTCCAAAAGGCATCTGTGGCTCGGGGGCTGGTTTTGCCACTCATTGGGCCCTCATCCTGCAAAGACTCGTGCCTGGGCGTAACTCCAAGCCCCTCCAGATCCAGGCTTGGGGTTGGGAAGAGGCAGGAGCAGTGGGGACGTGAGCCACCGTCTTCATTCCCAGGTGGATGCTTGGCTGGGATGGTGGTGGGAAGGGTGGTGGTTTTAAGAGAGACAGGGTCACATGCATGTTTTGAAGCCAGAAACATTTAAACATTTAAAATAATATACAATACAAATATTTACTTACAAACATACAAAAATATAAGCACCTTTAATACATGGGAAAGAGATGCCCAGTGTGACTTTGAGCTATCGAATTCACGGGGTTAAATTTTGTAAGACGTAGAATTACGCGATTCAATGGAGATACTAAAAATTCTGGAAGTGGCCATGACGTCTACTTGCTAGAGCAGATCCAAATCTCATGGAAGTCAATGAAATGCCTCCGATGAGCTTCGGCAGGGTTCGGATTGGAGCCAGGACTGCCGGGACTTCAACGTCAAGCTGGACACAGGAGTTTCAAGTTTTTTCCGTTTTTCCTTAGAAACGAACAAACAAAACGATAATCTATAGCCCAGCGCTCGGTATCGCTTTGTGGCAAGAAGAAGAAGAAGTCTTTGATGGTGGTGGGGTCTGCTGGGTGGCCATGGAGCAGCAGTGGCGGGAGCAGCAGCGGCGTGGGGACAGGTCTCCGGGCCACGCGTGCGGCAGTCGGTCATGCGATTCTGCGTCTGTCGTGGGAACGGTCCTCTTGGTCGGCGGTTCGGTACGTGTGGGTGCGGTGGCGCAGAGGAACTCGGGCAAAACGAGGAATGAAATAAAACGGAAAAAAATAACCCATCGCTGTCCAGTTTCAGAACGTGCATGTGACAAGGAATTCTTTTTTCTTTTCTTTTTTTTTTGTTGTTTTTAATTAATTAAATGGCGCAATGAGGTTACGAGGTTGCTCATTTGGAGACTAGTTTTCAGGTGGCTCTTAGCCCATGAAGCAAGCTGGTCCCACCTCGAATCCAAATTTCTGTGACGCTTCTCCGAAGTCATTGAACATGATGTCGACTATAGGTACTTGCTCTACTTTGGGCGTGTTGATTTCCAGGATAGTCTTCTGATAGCCCTTCTTTGCCTGATGGGGAGAAGAGGGAGACAGGGGAGCTCTGATGATGCCTCCAACCCAACAAGAGCAAGTTATCATGAATGAGCATTCACCAGTCAAGCTGGGAATACGGTGATGATCCTGCCGGGGCATTTTCTGAGCTAAATTAGAGGCACCCAGCAACCAAACACCCTACATGTACCCTGGAGATATAGCAGAAATGCTCCCAAGTGGGATGGTGACCACTAAGCAAACTCTTGCGAGATGGCTGTCCTGAGCCCAGACTTTGGAGCAGAAGCTGCTGCTGCCATGCAGATCGAGAGACACCAACTCTGCTGTCAGCACATCTCAAAGTTAGAACAGGAGCCTGGTAAAATGGTTGAGGCTGTGGTATAGTTGTTTTGCCTCCCCGAGGACACGCATGGGTTGTTGAACAAATGTGAGCGATTTAATTTGAATATATTAGTTTGACTATTATCTGAGTGCTATTGGAAAGATCACATTTAAAGTTTGATGGAATTCACAAGGTGATGTTGTCTTTTTATCGTGCCCGGTAGCCATACAGTTATTTCCGAAATATAAATAATTATTAGAGGAGCAGAAGTGCACCCGAGGGCATACAAAGCTGCACAAACAAGCGAATTTATGGAGCAGCTTTTGGCTCTACCTTACCCTCATGATTTGTGTGTCTCAAAAGAACAGGCTATATCACAGCTACTGAGAATGGGCTGTAAGATCAGGAAAACCACATTCAAATAATAGCCCAAACATTAGCCCTGGAGATCTGCTGGCACCAGCTGCAGCAGCCTCTGTCACGGCCAGAGCACGGGTCCTACCAGGACCTCTGCTGCAACGCTGTGTCGGGCAGCCCAACCTCATTTGTCTCATGGTAGGGCTCAATCTTAAATATCCTGCCTGTGGTTCAGGAAGGGTGATCTACCAGGGTACCAGAGACAGTACAGGAGTACATCTCTGTGCCCAGCCATCGCACCGGGCCTCGTTCAGCCTCTCCTGGTGCCTGTTGCTCCCCCTGCTCTAGTTCTTGCTGCAGTTGTTTTATTTGCAACACCGAGAGCAGCTGTGCTAACAGCCGCCTGTGAGAAGCAACCAAGCAAAGAAACTCGAAGGAGCTACAGTCCTCTTTCCAGGCAAACGTCAAACATAGAATCGTTTAGGTTGGAAAAGACCTTTAAGATCACCGAGTCTGACCGTTAACCCAGCGCTGCCAAGCCCACCACTAAACCACGTCCCTAAGCAACACACCTACACGTTTTTTAAATACCTCCAGGGATGGTGACTCCTCAGCTTCCCCGGGCAGCCTGTTCCACTGCCTGACAACCCTTCCAGTGAAGAAATTTTTCCTAATGTCCAATCTAAACCTCTCCTGGCGCAACTTGAGGCTGTTTCCTCTTGTTCTGTCGCTTGTTACTTGGGGGAAGAGACGGACCCCCACCTCGCTACAACCTCCTTTCAGGTAGTTGTAGAGAATGATAAGGTCTCTCCTGACCCTCCCTTTCTCAAGGCTGAACAACCCCAGTTCCCTCAGCCAATCTTGTTCTCTAGACCCTTCACCAGCTTCATTGCCCTTCTCTGGACACGCTCCAGCAACCCACGTGTCCTTCTTGTAGTGAGGGGCCCAAAATCCAACATAGTATTTGAGTATATCCCCCATTAGGGAGAGGAATGCAGGGCACCTGAGCCCAATCACTTAAACCAAAAGGCTTTTCAGCAGGCACATCTGCCTTGAAATGCGCAACGTGCGATCTTGCTGCATCCCTAAGAAGGGAAAGGGAGGGGAAGGCACTTTTTACCGAGGACACATTGCATTAGCAGGAGATACGAAGTACTTGAGGATAAACTTCCCCATGTGGCTTCTGAGTGTTTCCAGAAGTGGTATGGATGCCCTTTCCCTCTCTGCAAGAGTGCTAAAAGAAGCGATTCTAATCCTCGTTGCTCGTGTGTGTGTGTGCCAGAACAGAACCACTTTCAATCAAACTACGAGGAGGGCTTTTTCTGTCAAACATCTCAATCTTTCCATCCTGTGGGCTTCAAGCACTGCAGTTGCAGAGGGTGAGAATTATGCATGCTTTTGCACCAGCAAGCTGGGTCTCAAAATAAATGCAAGCAGCACCTGCTTTGCCAAATTTCTAGCTCCTGAGGGCAGATTTTTCTGATCTCAATCCAGAATCAGGCATCCAACAGAAGGAGGCAGAAGCAAAGGGAGGACGCTGAGCCTCGTTGGCAACTCTGGCTGTTGCTCACGGTGAAAGCAAAGGTAAAGAGCAGTGTGGGCTGCGCAGGGAGAGGAGGGCTGCAGCGTGATGCCTGCTTCTGCACTCAGCAATGCAACGCAATGCATCCCCATGCCCAGCACAAGCCCTGGGGCTGCACACAGCAGCATTCTGCAAAAAAACCCAAACCAATCAACCCAATGCCAAACTCTTAATGCTTTGCCTTCAAGAGATCCTGAAGACACTTGAAAAAAAAATCAGTATCAAAACCTGAATGCCAAACTCTTAATGCTTTGCCTTCAAGATTTCCTGAAGACAGTTGAAAAAAAAAATCAGTATCAAAACTTACAAAATTCATATGCAACTGGGTGTCATTTCTCACCACTCCCCTGTGAATAAACAGAGTAAGAGCAAAGGCAATGGGGAACATTTAAAAGGAACTGGTGGTTTTAGGCAGGTCCCTTCCTTTACTTGAAGCCAGCAATAAAGCAAATTAATCTGGTTCCTAGAAGTGCTGCAGCTTCCCCTGACCGTGAGCGGAATCGTGTATTCCCAGCATAGGGAAGAGCAAGCTCGACACCTCCCATGCTGGGGACAATCCTCAAGGCAACTACATCAATGGGCACAGGAAATATGGAGGTGATTCGATCCAAGACAGATAGTGCTGGTCAACCAGGGGAGGGGGGCAGACACCCCCAGCACCGACCCCTTTTTGCAGGGACTGGCCGAGACCAGCTCTGCCCACGTACCGCGCAGCCGTCCAGGGCGGCTCGGATGTAGGGGTTGTTGTCGTAGGACATCTCCTCGTCGTTGGAGCCCAGGAAGCGGATGGCCTTGTCGTAGCTGTTGGTGGTGGCGTCGTGCCAGGCTACGGACTGGTAGCAGTTGTAAGTGATGTTCTGGTGGGCCGAGGCGCTCAGGAGCCGGAGGAAAGTCATCTGCACCACTCCGATGGGGTTCCCGTCCGAATCCACGTAGGAGAGCTATGAGAAGTGGAGAAGGGGAAACACTGGACAGTGAGGGGCAATGCAACATGTCTGGGGGGGTCTGGGGACCACCAGTCTCACCCATCTTTATTACCCTGTGCAGACACTGCTCCTGCCACACTACGGGCACAGGGCTGCTCTGGTCCTCCTGCGGCCAGGGCACGGCTACCCAGGGCAGTTTACGTCTCTTGCTGGTTGTGAGTTAAAAAATAAGGCTAACGTAGGGTAGGAGGAAAAAGGAAGGGGAATTTCAGCCCTGATTGCCAAAAGGTGCAGTGCTAAGCAAATTTTGGGATATATGTCTCAAGTTTAAGCCGATGCTGAGCATCAGCATTTCTGTAAGGGTTTGGGGCTTTATTTTTCTGCCCTATTTGACACGATTTTCTGACTGCTGTGGGCGTTTTGTTCTGCACACACTGGGGTATTTCCCATTAATTTTTCCTGGGCACCAACACGCTGGCTTTGAAGCAATCTTTGCACTTAAGCTGCAGCAATCCTATTCCTGATGATATGGTCTCGGTGCTGCCCTGGTTGGTGAGGCTACGCTCACCTAAAGGGAAAATGCATTTGCTGCCCTCAGGGCATGTCAGGAAACACAGAGCTGCACTGGCACAGGGATTTACTCCATTCACACATCAGGCTCCTTTTCTCCCTGGGAGGAGAACGGTGTCTAGAAATATAGTTCTGCAAAATGCAGTTTGTTGAAACCCGCTTCCAGCACCTCGGGGACTCAGGACTTTCTCTCGTACCCCACCAAGGAAGCAAACACACAGTGGGAATGCTCGTTTGCACGTATAAACCAACTGCACGTCAGGTGGCATCTCCAGCCATGGCCAAGCTACCAGAGCTGCTGTTCATCACTGTCCTCTATGGACAGGGGGTTTGTTTAGAAATGACCAGGAGAAAAACACAGGCACACAAACAGCGTAGTGGTCTTCAAGGTACCATGAAACATCGGTGCAAGCTGCAAACAGTAGAAGAGATTCATAACCGGACAAAAATCATGATTAAAAATATAATAAAAATAAATAAATATACCAACCGGTTGTCAGGATACCGTTGCACTGTCCTCCTGAGAGTGAAATATGACTGACCATGAGAGACCACGCATGCCAGGAGCAGAGCTACCAGAAAACCACCAGGACGTGGAAGGAAAGGGACACAAAATGCCAAGTACTTGGCACACACACAATGAGACGTGGCACTACTGACCTGCAGGACCCACCTCTCTATTTCTCTTATTTGTCGTTATTTCAAATGGCACACACACAATGAGACGTGGCACTACTGATCTGCAGGACCCACCTCTATTTCTCTTATTTGTTCTTATTTCAAAGCAGTGCTTGGTTCAGGAGCCTGACTGCTGCTTATGGGGTCTCGGTTGCTGTTCTGCCTCTGCAGACTGCATGAAGCCCTGTCCCAGCTTTACAACTGGAGCCACTGGGAACTTGCATAAGGCTTGCTCCTGGGAACATGGGTTTGCAAAAATCAGTCCTTTCCCGTTTTCTCTGTGATAGCATTTCCCTGTGGCAGATGCCATACGGCTATGAAGGATAACAGGACAGGATGGGTGGCAGGCCTTGTTAGAGCTCCTGGAAATTGTGTGTAACACACAGAAGGAAAGCAGAGTCCAGAAGAAAACATCTGCAACCCTTTTATCCCTCTAAATGGAGTTTGGCTGTATCATGAGAAACGGTAAGAAATCAGCTCCAACTCTGTCTCATTGATTAATGACAGTGTGGAAGCATCAAAACAAGATGGTTTTCTTTGTATCTCGTATTTACTATGTTCTTCTTACTTTAGGTAAGCCCAGAAGAAAGGCAAGCATCCTCATGGCTGTACACCTTGTGCAAACACTGAGATGGATACGGAGCCCCCCATGTCAGCAGACTCTGCTCTTGGCTTCAGGGATCCTTGTGGGCTCAGCCTCCCCAAAAGACTGCGCTCGGGCTGCGTGGAAAGACACCAGGGACCTTCTCCATGGATTAATGGGAGCAATGCTACACCCAGAGGGGAACTTGAACTCCTTCATCCCACTCATCTACACATAGATTTCAACTGATCTTGGATCCAGGCAAACATCTCCCCAATTCACCAATCTCATGGCCCCAAGTACTGACTGGGGTGAAATGAGAAGTACTTTTAAAAATAAAATAAAATCAAATCAAACTGTAAGTTCATGGCTTGTGTGTTTAACGGTTTTGTGGTTTGCTTAGGGAGGTCTTCTACGTACTGGTGGCTTTTTTCCAAACAGAAAATGCAGGACAGGTAAAAAAGCAAGAAAATGGCAGCGCAGAAAGATGGAACAAAGGGCTCCAAGTAGCACTGAAATTTCTATTTTTAAAAAAATGGGCCCTAAGCTCTAGGTTGGCAATTCAGCCTCTAACGTAGCTGATGAACAGACTGTGGGGGGAAAGAAAAAAAAAGCAGAGAAGATGGAGAAACGGAGGTACTCATAATATTAACCGATGAAGTGCTCTGTAATTAAGCTATGAGTAGTTGCCCTCCAAGGAGCTACGAGGCTGAAGCCTTGGCTTTGCAGCCTTACGTGATAATGCAGAAAAGCTGCAGAAGCCGTATCTTTCTTGTGGGCAGAATCAGAGCAAAACGTGTTTAGTGGCGATGAAATGCGGCTTAGGAAAACAACGCGGTGATTCTCTTTGTTGTTTGCCTTTTAAGGTGGAAGTTTGGGACACTGTAAGAAACCTCTGCCCTGGGGAGAGGGCGACTGCACGAGGCTCCTCAGCGCGGTACGTCAGAGCATCTCCTGCTTTCAGGGGCAGGTCGGTTTTATCCGATGAGTATTTCCTTCTTCCCTAATTCTCCTGGTTTGACTGAGCTCATTATCTGCAGCCTGCTAATCCTACAAGAATTGATACACACGCAGGAGATTTCTGTTGTTGAAGGAGACCTGGCTTACACAAATCAGTTGCTGCTCTGACATCCTTGACCAGGGCTTCGGCTCTATGGGAGCGATGGATCTGTACACAATGTGAATGTCCCGTTAGAGGACAAAATACCAGAGCTTTTTCTCTGTTTTACATGCTGCTTGCTTGCTTGCTGACAGCAAACATTTTTTGACCTTACAACAGTTCTTCTTCCTTGAAAAAAATCCTTAATTGTGACCAAGTTAAATTCCTGTCCACCAGGCTTGGCAAACGCGTACAGCTTCAAATCTTCCTTTAGACCAATGATTTCATGTCTCCCAAGCTCCGAGGGTGGCATGAGAACCCCTAGCGTGGCTCATCTCCCGTGTGGGAGATGAAATCCATCCTTTGGGGAAAACCAGACCAGAGATGGGCAGATTCACCACCTCAGCCTGCGTACCAGCGAGCACAGGCTGTGACATAGCTCTGGGCTGAAGCATCACGTTAGGGGTCTCTCAGTTCTTGGGATAAGGCTACACTGCTGGGGGACAGCACCACGGGGACACCCAGTTTGCCTTTGCCATAATGGGAACTGCTTAGGAGACAGCAAGAGCCCTTCTGCTGCGTGAACCCCGCCGCAGCACTCTGCAGGGGCAGACCTGCAACAGCTGCAGCTCTGCAGGGTCCCCAGCACGTCTGCGTGTCCCCTTCTAACGCAGGGGAAAGCTCTTCACCTGCTCCTCGGTCTCCAGTCAAGCAGACTGGAGAAAAAGCATCACCATTGGGGTTTGTTTCTTTTTCAGTATTCCACCTTAAATGTTTTTACTGCGCCTTGTGATGGTTATTAGTCCAGCATGCAGAGTGCAACAGGTCTGGCCATACCAAAGCAGATGACGCGCTCTGATTCAGACTAGAGGGCCAAGGTTAGCCACTTACCAAAGACCCCCGCTTGTATTGACTATACCATGTGGAAGGCTGTTCTTTGGGCCAACGAGCCATTTTACTCTGTAAAATATGACACGGGTTAAAGAAAAACAGAAAGCACCAAGATGCATCTTACCAGTTTACCGCGCTTGAATTCACTGAACCAGGAGCCTGGGTTTTCCTTTGGCCAAGAAGTAATTCTAGCCTAGTTTGTGGACGGCAAGGAGGAAAGAGAGAAAGAAGAAGAAAAAAAAAAAAAAGAAATAAAAAAAGTTACATTCAGTTCCAAAAGCAGAGCGTGCATGTCTTACTGAAACTGTCCAACTTCCTCTAAAATGTTTTCTTAAGCTCTTTACACCAGTAACAAGACCAGTTGGTAGAGCCCTAAGGTACCAGGAGGCTCTCAAGCAGAACGGGACAGTGTGGTGGTGCCCTGGGTGCCCAGCGCTGCCTCGGCACCAGCCTCCTTTCCTAAGGGCTAATGATCTCTGCCTCCTAGATACTTGGGATGCAAAGCCAGCAGTGCAGTCTTATCAGCAGGAGGGATAAAAGGAAAGATAAAGAGGAAAAAAGAAAATATCAACGGTGAAAGATGCCTTGATCTTCATGGGAGGGCTGGAGTGGAAAAGCAATTGCTGATAATGGAGAAGGTTGCTGTCACTCTCATGCCAAATCCAGATGCTGTGGGGCTGGGAAAGGCAAAGGATGTGGTTAAGGAAAAGCCTCTGCCAGCCTCCTGTGTCTGTGCGGCAGCAAGGTGCGGCACAGGCAGCGCATCCTCCGCTGTCAGTGCTGGACCATCGCACGTGATGGAGCTTCAACTACCCGGAGCAACGCAGGGGGTGACCTTGACGAGAAACGAGCTGTCGGAGCATCCTTTATGGCAGCCCAGTCTAAGCAGCTGAATCATTTGAATCAGAGCCCAAGGAAGAAGCGTGGTTGCCGTCTGCTCCCTTACCCTCCCACAAGCTCCCGCACTTCTGCCGCAAATCTCCCCAAAACCAGCAGCCAAGATATATGCAGGTGTCTTGGGACTGTCCTATCCTTTCCGGTACGTGAACCAAAAAGTGAGCCAGTGTGTTTCTGCTGGGTAAAGGCTGGACTGAAAGGGGATACGGTTTAAACTCTGCTGTGGCTTATAATAAAACCACTCAGCCAATACTTAATGCTGGTCTGGTAGCTGTTTTCACTCCTCTACATGGAAAACAGCAGGCTGAAGCTTCTTCTTATTTACGACGGTATTGCAAAAGCGTGGCACAATTTGCATTTGAGGAGCATCGCAGCAGTCAGAAGAGCAGCTCCACAGTGGACAAGATGGGGCCAAAGAGCTGCTCGCAGAACGAGCGTGGCAGGAGTCTGAGCCACTGTACGATCACGGGCAGACTCTGCTTTTTTAGCTGTCAACATTTTGAGGAGAGCGATGGCAAGTTAATGCAAAGGAGAAGAAATCCATCTCCTATTTAAACAGCCCTAACAAAAACTCAAGGAAGATTTATGTGATGTGTTATTTGTCCTGCGCTGGCACATATTTCTGGTGGATGAAATTCAGCAAGCAAACACTTTTCACTGGAGTGAACAGCTTTGTCTGCACCTTAACCCAGCTGGAGCACAACTGTGACACTGAGAGAGCTCCCCCAGGCCACTCTGCAAGAGTTTCTGCTTGGCCAATGCAAGAGCTGGTCCCTCAGCATTGGGGAGAGCAGCTCCAGAAAACAGAGTGCAGGGGTACACGACAAAAACGATGAGTATGGTTGAGCTAAGCGCATCATTACATAAATAACTTAATCAACCTCGTTCATCGGTGCCAGGAAAAGCACTGAGGCTAGTTGCAATCGTTTAGGATCATTTACCCACAAGAAACACCAGGAAAAATGACAGGAGATAAACATTTATCTGCTCTGCCTGAAGCCACAGTGAGGGGAGAGGAATCAGTGGTGCTTATGCATGCAGACAGCAGAGCGGCAGCCTGGCTGTGGGAGGGAAGACAAGGAATGAGTTAAATGAAGCTCACGGGGAGCCACAGTTTCTGCATCAGCACACACTTCTGCCTTTGTAAAGCAAAGTAAAAAAAAAAATTAAGGTTTTAGCATTTATTATGCCTGGGAAATCATCAAAGACTTGTCCCAAATCACAGTTTAAATCTGAGTTACTCAAAGAAATTCTCTTTGTAAACATACTCCTTATTATTTTAGAAGCCAACGTTGTGTAACAAAGAAATGTTCTGGGTCTTTAATCCTTGCTTGCTATTGTTCAGTTCTCCTGAAACTGACTGTCTATGAATATTCATATTAGGAAACACTCTCTT